AGGGACGTACTATTGCTAAACGATCAAAGTTTTTATGGGCAGGCTTGTCGGTTGTCGCCATTGTTTCCGTGTGACGCGAGCATTAAAAACTAGTGTCTTGTGAACCATGGACAAGTGAATCAAAACACCGTGTCCGTGTGAGAGAAAAAGAGAGAGTATCTGCCTATCTGGATTCTTGAAGACGTGTTAGTAATTAATTAAGAAGGGGTGCCATCGACTTGGGAGGAGAGTCACGGCTTTGGTTTTTTTCCCCCCCTTGAGTGGGTATCGATCCAATGCTCTGTACCAAGACTCGAAAAATATCTGCGCGAATGATATAAAGCCAGCTACCAACCCAACAGAATAATTATCAAAGCAAACAAACATGTACTCACTAGCTAACTACAAACACAAATTCAACAAGCTACGTACGCCGGCCCCCCTCGCAATAATATTGCACGGTGTTGTATTAGTATATTGATAGAGCAAATTGGTCCACACCAAAGAGCACCAGAATCTGTTACACCTAACGTAAAATGGCCGCCATAAAAACGTCAACTTGTGACTGAGATTGTCTTTACTCTTGTCCTTCGCCCATATCTTGCCTCTGAAATCAGGGCACCCCCACAATCCTCCCATTTGACTTTGCTCCACTGCACCAGCTTCCCTGCCGTTTCATGCCATTAATGCTTCCCCGGGAAGTGGTTTTTCGGGGAACAATTTTAGTATTATATTTTATCAAAAATATAAAGATAGAGTGAGTGGAAGGAAGGGCTAGGTATAGATTTATTAGATAGTGGGCATTGCAGGAACAGCGGTGACATGGGTCCGTGATGACTGATGAGACAGGAGAGGTGTAGTAGAGGGCCAGATACGTGGATGGTAAATCTGATAAAGTTGGTTTCGCGAGTGGCCTCACAAAGGTTTCGGAATTAGAGGGATCACAGATCACTGCAACAAAGTGCCAGTGATGTTATTGCCGTTGAAGACAACTTTTAATGTGGTCGTTACAGCTCCGCGCGTGTCTGCCATTTTGGTTAATCAAGTACCTTTTTAATTAGCCTTGGCATGCATGTAAATTGAATAATAACCATTCCACTAAAACTCACTCGCACTCCTGAATGTATATATTGACCGAATGTTTCCCCCTAATGAGAAAATTTGAAAGCAGCCATCCAATGAGGCGTATGCTCCGTAGTGGGCCTCTTCCTCTTTTTAGTTAAAACACCACATGTGTTCATGTTCATGATTGTGCGTTAAATTATGGTGAAGACTGTTTGCATTTCCTTGATGCTCAAGTTAACCAGATTCAAATTAAATGATGTGTAATAAAACTAAAGCTATATATATGCACACACATAAGTGATAAGTGCGCTTGTGGTTCCCATCACGGTGGGAATATGTTAGGCCAAATTAAAATTTAATCAAATAAATCTAAACACATATGATAAATTAGAGACTTGAACCTAACTTACAACTTATATAAAGCTTTTTTCACAATTTAAACTTGAGCCTATTTAAAATTTGATCTGATTTAAAAACCTATTTAAAAGCCTACTCAAAATTAAGTAAGCCTTTCAACTAAGTTTATATTTTAATTTTAAATGTCTTAAATATATTTAAGGGCAATTATAATATGTAGTACAATATATAATTTGATTTATCAATCACAATATACTCCCTCTAGTCCCATTGATAAGATAGTTTTTAGAAGGTCTATTTAATTCAATTTATAAGTTACGTTGCCGCTTTTTAAATAATATTTAAAATGTATTTTTAAAATTATCTTTTATGAGAGAAAAAAAGTGATATGATATCACTTTTTGAATTTATTATATAGGGACATATTTAAAATTATACACACTCTTGTATTTTTTTTGCATTGCTATTAATGAGGTTGGTAGAAATAATTTATAAACAAGATCGAAAAAATATAATAATTGAAAAAAACTTACCAACTACAATACAATATTACAATAAAATAATAATATTATTAAAATTAATATATAAATACAGTATGGTTGAAAACATAACTAGAAATAAAAAACATAGATTGATTAAAAATAAAATGATAAAATTGATATGTTTATGATATATTATATAATATATATATATATATGTATGTATGTATGTATGTATGTATGTATGTATGTATGAGTATATAACCCGGCCTGCTGGCTCTTAAATTAAACTTTAAAAAAATAAACTTAACTTATTTAATTAAATATATTTAATTAAAGATTTAAATTTAATTTTAACTTATTTAATAAATAGGTTAAGCCAAATTTGAAGCGGATGAGGCTGTATAAGTTTTCAATGAGAGTCTCGCCTATATTCACACCTAGTTCCCATGGAGAAATAAAGAAGAGGTTCAGGAAGCTACGAACGGCGTCGTGTTGTTATCATTGAAACTAAAACAGCGACATGTGTTGGTGTCATCATAACAAGAAGACGGCTTCATACACCTGTCCCCAACTTGCCACCACTTGGAAACAACCCCCAATGAAGGCAACTTCCCTCTCTCCGTTTTTTTTTTTTGGCCTTTTTATTTGATGTACAGCTCCTCCAACCTGTCATAATTTTTGCATCAAATTAACAAAACAAAATGATATGAACCTCTAGTCATTTTCATCGCTCCTTTAATTTTATTTAATTTCACTTCCTCTTCTTGGGTCTTAATCATTGTCCTTTTATCATCATACCTTATTTTCAAATTTAGCTTTACCTCTTCCGTCCTGTCCTATCCCATTCCATGAATACAAGACCTAAGCGTCCTTTTTCTCGTTAAAACTTTGAATGCATGTTCACTGCCAAGTGCCCCAAATTAATACGATCGCGTCACGGCTCAATCATGAAACTCGTCTCAGCTTTTAAAATTGGTTCCAAGTCCCGGGGTATTTGGCACTGTATAGAGATAGCGATGGTGATGAGTTTATTAATTAATTAATTTCATATATGCAGATATATAGTCAAACTTCTCTTCAACCACGTGACATGGAAATCTTGCATCTGCATGAATATTCCAATGGTTTATTTCGTTTGAGACGGCTACGGAACAGCTATATAATTTATAATCTTTGTTCATGTCTTGAATTCGGTTCTATTCTGCTCTCTTCTAGAAATAAGCATAATGGCATCGTTTTTATTTACTAACCCAGAGGGAAGAATCTGACAGGTACTTGATTAGATAGCCAAATTGATCATAATCAAAATTTTCCTCCCTTGATTAACAACGGTTTAATGCAAAAAGATCAGATCAGCGATTTCAAGAATACGACTTTGCAAAGGTGAATCACGATTCTCCCTGAAATGACAGGAATCTGGCGTGCCCTCCGTCCATTCATGACACCTCTCTGATTAGCTTTTTTCGCTCTGCAAAACTTTCACCCACAAATTATAATAGAGGCCAACGACATCATCGTGAACAATATTCTCCACGGAAGTGGAACTTTTTTTTTTCCCCCTCTCGTTCTTGATCATTTTTTCGTCTTCCTATATATGCAAAATAATGCTTTTCCTTTTGTTCGTGAAAATTGAAAAGTCAAGAGTGCATAGAATAGCAATAGAAATCGTAGACTCCAAAATAGACAAAAGTGGAACATGCGGAGACAATCAGATTCTAGTATTTGTGGATTATATATATACGAGTTAGTGCTACATACATTGGGAATCATGTGAGGGGAAAAAGAAACTAGATACGCTTAAGATACTGTCCTGTTTTAACCACTCATATTCAAAGAGGCATGACACTTGGTAGAAGTTGGATTCGTGATACTCCACTCAGTTCATATATTGGATCTGATATATATGTGTGTGTATGATAATTAATATTGATTATCTCGACAATTTATGTTTTCAAAGGGAAGACTATGGAGGTAGTATCGGCAAAAAATGCGAAGGCGTCGGCCGAAAAATATTGAGAAGGTCTTCGTCAATTTTGGGAAGGATCGATATCTCCCAGTAGTTCTCTGAGGCCCAATGGGTTTTAAACGTTGGATTTTTTATATGCAGGTTTTGAGTATTGCCATTTGCCCGGGCATACCAATCTTTCGGCATCTTCCAATCTAAAAATGTTTCATGCGACAAAAATAACCCAACATTTTTTTAACATGAAAAAAAAAATGTAAGTGTGGTTACAAAGGGATCTTATGCTGTTAGTCTTGATAAAATGCAATGGTAACCAGACTGTCAGACATTATATGATAAGCATTTATATGTATGTATACATGTATATATGTTTGAACCCGTAACTTCTTACTTGTATCATATTTTAGTCTCATCACTTGACTTAGTTTAATAAAATACGGTAAATTATTTTGATAAAAACATCAACAAGAAAATATAATACTAAAACTTGATGTTACTGTTTTTGAATTATTATATATATGTGCGCGCGCCCTAAAGCATCTAAACTGCTCTTGTCATTTAAAAAACCCCCTTTTTTATAAATAAATAAAAAAAAAGCTCTAGTACCACCATCATTATATTACCATCTATGTTCTCAAAATGTTGAGTAAAAATTCTTTGCCGGTGCTAGTTTTGCAGGCCGCCAAGAATTTTGAGTTATGAGATATGAGATATTTTCACTCGTATGGTTGTGATTGGGACACTAATTGGAGCAGAGTAAGAAATTTATGATGATTTCAAAGTTTACAGGGATGTAATTGAGTAGAGCTCCTTTTCAACTCAACTTACATGAGAAATTGCAATTTTGCGATTTTTTTCGAGTACTTGACAACAGTGAGGGAAAGTTGTGATATTTAAATAGATTAGCTGAAGAACATAAATAGAATGACAATGGCAAACTGTACAAGGATTATTCCAACATTTTACATTGTACAATTTTCACGTTTAAATGAGAGAACTTGTTATAATGATGTGTTTAATATTTTGCTTTGAATTGTGATAATTCGTCTTCCACGAGCCATACTTATATATGGAGCAATTTATAGCAACATCCATTGCTTATGACTTGAGATTGATTCCACATGAACATCTCAACAGAAAGAAAGACCCAGAAATGATTCCCTAAACAAATTCATCAATCAATGCTTCACTCAAAATATGAGCACACTGTACTTTTCCCACCCAACGGTGGAGCCAATGGAACGAAGAAAGAACTTATTTTGTTCACACGGAACGAAACTATTCTCTGTCCAACCTATTCATTACACCTAGCTTGGAACTGAAACTAAATTAACCTTCAAATAAATAATCATGTCTGCGAAACGCCGCGCTCTGCATGTTCATGTCACGTGCATGAAATGAATTGAGTCCGCTCAACAAAATTCTGATTCAAGCTAATGCAGCATTTCAGACATCTAGATCGAAGATTTCACTTCCTTCCACAGCAATGTAGATTTCGAAATAAAACCAATGAGAGCAAACAAATCATATAATGAAATGAAAGAATATATCATCAATTGAATTTCCAAAACAAAGAACCAGTACCCCCCAAAAAAGTGGCTAATGTGGCCATGTACAACACCTCTAGGTTTCTCTACTCCAAGAGGGGACTTCAAAAGTAAATACGAAAAAAGAAAAAAAAAAGGATTTCTCAAGTCTCGGACGGCCAAGAAAATCTAATCCAAACCATCTCTCGAAGGTTAATATTATTATTATTTATATAATTTTTCAGTTGGGCCTCTTACCAGGCCATTGGTATGGACAAGGATTGGACGGAAGCAATAGCGTTGGAGCCTAAGAGAGAAAGACTTCAACGGTTGAATTGATGACGGCGAGGCATACGGGACACGCTTGGAAATGCGCATCGCATTCCGGACAGATGCATAAGTGCCGACACGGCCATGCCACCAACGATGCCAGTCGCGTCCCACAGCCTCTGCATTTTGGTCCCGATGCCACGACCCTGTCCGGGTCAATATACGCTGACTCGGCGTCCTCCGGTTGGCCTGGCCCGGCGCCCGCCGCGCAGGATAGCCCTCCGTCCTCCCCGAAACACCCTCCCACTCTATCCTGCGCACCCGCGCTCAACATAGCCTGTTGCAGTTGCGCTTGCAGAGACGCCGCCGTCGCCTCCTGCGCCTTCGCCTTCGCCTGCCAAACCTGCGCCTCCACGGTAAGTTGCGCCGCGCGCGCTTCTAACTCGGCATTCCTGCGCGTTGCCTTTTCCATCTCAACCTCCTTCTCTCTCAACTGCCGGGCCACTGATTCTTCCGCCACGCTTAGAAGTGCACGATAATGCCTCTGCCTCTTCTCGGCTAATGCTCTTCGCAATTGTTCTCCCTGTTATTCCGGCAAGATATCTATCGTTTATTCCCTTCTTTCCTGGTATCGTGCGAAACCGAACATTTGAATACGAACAGAATAAGAACTGTACCTGGGCTTGGAGAAATTGATCAATCTCATCGCGCTGTTGTTTGATTTGGGAGGCAAATCCTTCCGATAATAGAGATAAGAAAGCATAGGGCTGACAGGCTTGTTGATGTTGTTGTTGGCTTTGGCGTTGTTGCTGTAATTGTAGTCTTTGTTGTTGCTGTTGCTGTTGTTGATGGTCGCCGAAGGACAATCGGAGGCCTGTGGAGACCACATTTGGTTGGTGGTTGTGGAGCTGAGAGAGTTCGACGAGCTGAGGAGGCTGGGATTGCAAAGAGAAGAGATTAACACCGTTAGGGGCTGTTTGGGCGACGCAGGTGGCTGCCGCTGCTTCTCTTCCTCTCTTGCGAGAATTAGTACCTGCTAATTTTGTACACAGGCAATTTTCAGATTGGCGTTCAACGAATACTCCTCCATATGTCGCTGGTTTCAATGGCCAATAAACCAGCAAACCCCTCCAAAGAAACAGAGTTGGAGAGAACATACCTCCATTGTTGAAAAAGATATGGGACTGATCAAGGAGCCCTCCTGGGTGTGGCTGCAACGAATAATCATGTCCCTCCTGTTCGTTTCTGTAATCAGAAATGGCAGAATAAAAGGACGTATTAGTCTCCCGGAGCTAGGAGGAGAACAGCCGGCCTGAACCAGGAAGTAAGAATAAATGCAAACCTGTTGAGGAGGAGAATATTGGATGGGTATTGAGCTTGAACTGCCATGGCAGCTGAGAAGATGAAGCAGGGGAAGAATTGAAAAGGGCGAGAGGAATGTGAAGGAGAGGAAGAAGCGGTGCTTATAAGGGGAAGGAGAAGGAAGACATGATTGAGAAACAAAAGAAATGGTGATGGGAGCAGCACCGTTGGGTGGCTTTGTAATCACCTACAAAATTCTTGCTCCGCGTTTTGGCTGTGGCTGTGTCACAGGAGAGAGAGAAGATATATAGATAGAGAGAGAGAAAGGGGGTTAGAGGGGGAAGGAGATAGATGCTGCGATTGAAGCGAATCAGTCCTAGAGAGAGGCACCTTATTCTGCTCTTTCGCTCTTGTTGTTGCCCTCTCTTATTAGCCTTCGCGTAAGGTTTGGCTTTTCTGATGAGCAAGTGTCGTGGTTTGTTATATACTATTTGCTTTTGCTTACCACGATGTGTATTTAAAAATTCCAAAGGGAAAATTAAAACGTAGGTGGGAAATAGAAGGATAGTGTGTGTATTTTTAGACAATGTCTGGTTGATGACAGTTAATTAGAGAAACAATGCATTAATAGTGGCATCAAAGGGTTGGTAAATAGGGTGGTGGCTGTGTACTGTGCAGGTCTCTGCCGCTGGAATCGTCTGTACCTCTCTCCCTCTCTCTGTTTTCTTTTCTCTTTTATATATTTATTTCCCTTTACCCAATGAATCCAATTATTTTATCTCTTGCTTTATATTATATTATTAATAAATTTACTCTCTTTATATTTAATTTTAAAGTTAATTAGATAAATCACAGACCTCTCGACTTGTTCATCCGCCGGGGGGGGGGGGAAGATCCCTCTATATATTCACCCGGTCAACAAAGATATTAACAGAGAGACATGCTGTGCAAAACTCACATCTTGCCTGTGATTTTTGGTTAACTTTTAAAATTAAAGAGAATTTGTCACACTTTTCCCTAAAAATAAGATTTCGGGGCCAAAATAAACATCAATTCAGTTTTTTCCAAAAAAAAAAGGAAAGGTAATTAATAATTTAAATTGTTAACATTTATATTGTCATATTCAGCACTGTTCTATTTTAATTTCTTTAAAATGAACATTTCAATGTCGAATCATGAAAAGATGCTCATAATATATTTTTTATCAACGATATTTTTAGCAAACATTTAAGGAATTACATTTAAATTCTGTTGCATTAATAACTAAACAATCCACCAAAAATAATACATCTATTTGTGCTGTTTTAAATCCCCAATTGAGGCTTTGGCCCACCCTCCCAAAAAAAAAAAAATTCCCAATTGAGGCACTCGGAACATCTATATATTATGGTTGTATTTCATCATTGCCATTTACGTATCTCTTGATAATTTCGAAGGTTTACACTTTATATTAACGTTGAGATTAGTTTTTATAAATCTAATCTTAACTTATTAACGAGACAAGTGCTTTTTTAATTAGTCCTGAACGCATATTTAGCTTTTCTTCGCTTAAAATAATATGAACGGGTAAAGTTGAATTTGTTTCTAGATTTTGAATGTTCAAAATCGTAACAGCTGTGTCTCTTGTTGATTCTTATTCTTGGAAAAAACTTGAACAGATTTCCAGAATACAATGCGCCTCCATCCGTCTAATTGCATGATTAACTTTGAGAAACTTGGCCCCCCCTTTATCTGCTAACTTCTTTCAAACGACTATATATTCACATGTATAGGACTATTTCAAATAATGATCATCACGAAAAAAAAAAAAAACTAACGTAGAAGAATTTAATCCCCAAGAGCAACGCACGCACAACAGGTGATATGAATTAATAACAAGAATTGAAGAAGCTTTCAAACACGACATAATGTAGCCATAAGAAGATTGACTATTTCGGTTTCCGACGAAATTGTTTCTTCTAGGTTCTATCTAGCAGTATAATAGACATTACCTTCATTTATAAACATATAGTATAAAATTATTTCCGACCCTTTAAAAATAACCAATGCTCCATCCTAAATTTTACATTCATTTTGCATCTGCTATGCTGTCCCACCTTAATCAAATCGGCAGTTTTCTTCTTTCTTTTGATTCATATCAGAAAACCTCATGCTTCACGAATCATGTTTAACTTATATTGGATTTGAATCCCATCGTTGTACAGTTGGAATAGGGTTACCTAATAATGACCAATGTACCTTTGCTATGCTGCTAATTATTGTCATTAGGCGGTGGGAATTTGTTATCCCAATAATCAAACAATGCAATGTTCTATGGCATATATTGACAAGAAAACGGTTCACTAAGTTCATGAACAACCAGTAAAACGCACAAAATAATTGAACTTATGGAATTATTATTATTTTTTCCTTAGAAAGAAAAGATGTAGTATTTCGGAGAGACTGAGACTTGCGGCAATTAAAATTAATTACACGAGCAATCACAAACTCACCTAATAATTAATTTTATCGAAATTTATCAAACCAAACATCACGGGAAAAAATTAATACTTTAGAGTTTACATATTGGGAGAACGGAAACCCAAAATAGAACAGCAACGGTTGTTAAGGGACAATCACAGTGGACGATTAAAAAATAAATAAATAATTGATAAATCGTACGTGACAAAGGAAACCAAATTTCTTCAAGCAACTTTTGAGCATCATTAACATTGGTATATTTAATGCGTTGGTGGAGCCACGAAGGCTAATATAATTACCCCCTCCTCCTCCTCCTCCTCTCCATTTCTCACTCGACAAACCGGCCGGTGATGATTTGATTCCCTGATTGATGGTGAAAAGGAAAATATTAAAAATAATAATAATGAACAATGAATTATGAAAACTTTAATTTTCTCTCCCGTTTCGTTTCTTGTTGTTAGCCAGCTTAAGAGGTGAAAGACAAATTTGTATAAGGTATGATAACGTTAGTTGTGAAAATTAGCTGCGGTACAAATCAAACGCAACTTGCGAGTGAATCCCACACCCAAGAAAAAAGACGATAGAAAGTGAGTATTGGGTGAATCTTCCCCAAAATAAAAACAAACAAATATAATCCATACTTTAATCAATGGAGGAGACTGGCAAAGAAAGAGAGAAGCCACCCAACCAAAGGGAAGAGAGAGAGAGAGAGAGAGAGAGAGAGAGAGAGAGAGAGAAGAGAAAGAAAGCAAAGAGAGGAAGGAAATGTGAAAGAGAGTGCTTGGAATGGCATCATGCAATTTGTCTTTGCTTAGGTCCCACTCACAGGGCCGACTACTCTCCTCCATCTTCCATATCACGTACATATCATCCATCATCAAATGTTAATTAATTAATTAATCTCTTCATGCTAATGCTACAACCCGCACGGCAATTTGTATGGCGCACACGCTCTTTCTGTAATGCACACACACACACACTTCTCTGATTTTATTTACAGAGAATAGGGAGAATGTTGATTTTAATCATATTTACATGATGCCTCTATGATTAATTTTTGCATCTATCTCTACTTTTTACATTTATTAAATTAAATGCTAAGAAGGTTATTACAAGTTGGAATATTTTGTTTGTAAAGTATGTATATTTATTAGAGAAAATGTTTAAACTTGCTGAATTTTTCAATGCAATTAATAAAATTTAAGGTTTTGTTTTATTTTGATAAAATATGTTAGGAATAACTTAATTATAAAGAAGAACAGATGGAGTATATAGTTTAATTTTGTTAGTATAGTGTTGGGTGCTTAATTATATTTGTAGAGGTAATAGGGTAACCACAAGCTGTCTGCTTTTGCCTTGTAGTTGCCTTCCTAATGCATCAACACATCACTCTCTTTTCCTTTATATATCCCTTTGGTCCACCAGCACAACGCCCCATTTATTGCTTAACCCTTAGCCATCCCATTAATTATAATGCCTCTGCTTGCTCAGTACACATTTCAAAAAGAAAACGTATGTGTAATAATATGGTCCAACCGAATAATTTAAAAGAAGAAGTAATATGTATAGATTCAAGGGTGGTGCGTGGGTTTAATTTTGACAATATTATATGTGCATTATCACCCCGGAATTGTGGAAACCGTTGTCTGGAATCAAGATCGCATCAACGTACGTAACGCCCTCGTTGTATAGAAACGAGCGATTGTGTTCACAAGCAGTGCTGAAATGGTGCGCTGGGTTAGGTAAAGTGAAGCCAATATATATGACACATATCGTCCAAAGGTTACATCCGTTATTAATAATTTAAGAAAAAGCCGTTTTAGTAAAATATGGTTGGCAGCTTCATGGGTTTGGAGTTTGAAAGGAACCCACCAATTCACGATTCAAACATGAATTATGAGGATTGATGGGTTGCGGGTAAATGAAGTCCAGGAATAGTTGTGTTTGAATGCTTTTCGTGGATAGATAATTAAAAATAGAGACGGCTTAATGATGGAGTCAATGCCTGAAAGGCCAGGTCAAGCGGCTTGTTTCTTGCCTTCAAATTAATTTAAAGGTCAGTGATTAGTATCATAGACGTGTCCTCTTTTATTGAACTTGCTCTTGGGGCTTGGTTTCAGATGTACACAATGAGGAACTAGATATGGTCAGCTCTTAAACAAGCTTGCCTTCCCAATTTGAATTTCACAGCAATAATATCCCAAAAGATCGTCGTCAGATTTGAGTTGATGTGATCTTCTTTCTTTAGGTGCCTTCTCTCGTCACACGATAAGAAATTACGTGGATCACTACCAATCGATGTTGTTAGCAATGACTCTTAATTTAAGCCAGCAATCAACAACACATATGTATGATGAATAACCAATAATTAATTTGTTCAGAACTTTAAAATATCAGTAATTAATAATTATACATTATTACCACGCCAGTTACAGCTATATATATTTTAATACCATTGCCAATCAAATAAAAAATTGTTACTGATTATTAATGTGTACTTGTGCTCGTAATCACTTCTATATGATATTCGTATTGCGTGATATATATATATATATATATATCCAGCCTTTCATGTGCTAGTTACCTCTTGTTAACACCAAGTAATAAAAGATCAATTCTGGTCATATATGATATATTGTATGTCCTGGAAAGTTATGAAATCTGTCTGGATATGTCGATTTATGAAATTAGTGAAAGGAAACTACAACTCTCTCTCAAAGACGAACTGAACACGAGAGTAAATTACTAGCGCATATTTCCCGAACCGATCAAGTGAAAACAAATAATTTATATGGAAAAATTAAGGAAGGAGTAGTAGCATATGAGTCATCATGTTTGAGAAAGTGTCATGAAGCCAAACGCATTTTCCTTGCTACAAGACATTTCTTTAATAAAACGAGTCCTTATCCAGCCACCCCCGATTTCCTTGACCCGCACATTTCCAACCCAAACTGAAATTCCTGTCATTTTCTGGGGGTTTCTTTTTCCTCTCTACTTTATCTTATTCTTTCCTTCGGTTCCCAAATAATTTTTCTGGCTTTACCCTTCATATAATTTCATTTCGTTTGCATCCGTAGGGATGGCCAACATTAATCACTGCTACACTATGACACTCATCTCATCATGGATCATCTACACAGTATAATTTCAAGACACTTTCTACACTAGTTGTATATAAATCCGGCGTACAAAGTGTTATATCTATTTTTTTATTTATGGAAATGTTACCTTACATACTTTTTACACCTATTCTTTTTAACTGGTATAAATTTTTTTTTTTTATAGCAGTGAATCCACGATCTGTCTATTAGGCTATGTATATGCATGCCTTTATTTCTGTTAAATAGTTTCCTTCCACCTATTTCTCCTCTCTTATACGCACAACCCAAGTGCTATCTAGCTAGCTTCGAGCATTAATTTAACGGTAATTTTCTGTCCGTAACTTGGATTCTGAATTAATACCCGTTATAGTTATAATCCTCTCGTCTTATATATATGAAGAAAAAATATTGCTATGAATATGTATTATTCTATCTAGTCATCAATGTTGAATTCTTCGGCCCTCATTCTTTCTTTCAGTGCATTCGAATTTCGTGTACGTGTTTTCTTATCATGATATCACAACTAAACCAATATATATATATATAATATATATACTGACTCTAACTTGTTTCCGCCCTACATAGTGAACTGTATCACCTATCAAACCAAACAATATTCATACGCTATATATATAGGCTTTTCCATTTGTATGTTGTGGGTGAACACATTCTCCAATATATACTCGTCGCTTTGATTTGTTTTTTAATTTCAGGAAATAAAAGTGGAAATTAAAGGTGGTGGTGTGATGAATCATTGGTACCATTAAAGTAATTATCGTTGCATATAAGGCACTTAAATTCAACCCGGCTATCTTTGTATTTAATTAACTCGATTAGAAAACAAGAAAAAGAAAGGCCTATAATTTCGTTTGCTGAAAAAAGGCAAATGTTTCCTATGAATGGTCGAGAAGAATACAAATGGAAGAAAAAACAGCTACCATAAGTGTATTTCCGAACCCTTATAATTAATTAATAATTTATTAACAAGGTCACAAGATGAGATCATAATATTATCCACCAATCCTATGGAGTTAACGTATAAACTGGTTTAACAAAATGTTTTGTAACTCGCCTGATCATGATTTGATTATAATTTTTATCATTAACTTGGTTTGATTTTCGGTATATGTTGCGTATAAGACCCTTGGAAACACCAGGTAAAAACTGACGAGCTAAAAAGCATGTACTTATGTGGTACAATGCATAATCAATAACACGATAAGAGGTAGATATTGTGTCCGTTTCAAGTGTATAGAAAGAAGATACCACTGATATTTACAGCAAGAAAAATGACGAGGAACGAAGTTAAGGAGGAGGATGAGGAGTGGGAAGAAGGTAAAAGAGTAGAAAGGGACAAAAAATATAAGGATTGAGGTCTGGAAAATGGGTAGAGTTTGATTTAAGGGAGTGTCAGTGCAGAAGGGGAAGGTGGGTGGTGGTGCTATAATTTATGAGTCGCTGTGCTTGTTTGTACATTGGCTTCTGTTTCTGGTGATTGATAATGGCAGTCACAAGAAGAAGCAGTGGAGAGAGAAACATGAGAGCCTTATAATAGTAGGACTCATAAAAAAGGTCATGAGGAAATTTTACAGCATCAAAGTGTGTGGGCAACTGTTGGTGGGTCTCCCTCTCCCCCCCCCCCCCTCTCCCTCTCGTCTTTGCATTCGCTGCAACAGAAAAGCATCAAAACCTATTAAGTTATATATCCCACTCTGCAAAATCAACCCTTCCCACTGCACGGTGCACAGTATTTCATTGTGCCCCACATCTTTCATTTTACAATTTCCACCCCACTTTTTCAGCCTCGTATCGTTCTTGGTCCCATGCTTTTATATTTTACACTCATCCATCCAATTCCTGTTCGTCATCTCTCACTCTCTCTCACCTTATTCATGTTTCAACATTACGTGGTTGATGCGTTACGTGACCGCTTGATGAGTTCATTTGAATCCCATGCCCATGTGTTCGTCACCCTTCGTAATGATACATCTTCACGGGTTTTGATTCTTCTCCAGCGAAAAAACACTCTGCTTTTTAGTACCATCCAAGAATAACTAGACGATGGAGAGAAGCTCTTACGTTGTTTTGCCGCATGTTATTACTGTCAAACATGAAAAAAAAAAATTGAGAATTCTTCCCAAAAGAAAGTGAGAATTGGGATTGGCTTCTACTGGTTCATAAAAACTTTCATATATTCCAATAAATTCGAGGTAATTTGGATTCGGGGGGTGCTATCTGGGGAATTAAATGAGAGGGAGTTATTTCTGGAAGCAAAAACTGGACCACAGAAATTAAAAGAAGGGAGTGAAAAAAGTTGACGCAGAGGAACAAATCCGGCAGACTTTAATGAAAGAATTCCAAAATGTTGGATCACTTTCTGTGGGTCGGAAAAGAATAACGAAAAAACAGAGGGAGGTTCCCAAAAATCCAAAAGCAGTAGAAGGAGGGGATGGAGATGGAGCAACTTGGGGTTCCCAACAAAATTAAATTTATTGAATGAATACACTCAAAGCCAGTGGACACAGTGGTCCCCTGATCCAACGGATCATAGCTCAGGTACCATATTCATAATAATACTACTGTGCCCATCACA